AGTATCTAAAATATTATATGTCTAAATAAATAGATTATCTCACGCTAATATTGTTTTAGAGAAAATTTATAAGATACCATAATTATGATGTTACTTCCATATGAAGATTTGACTACACAATATTTCAAAAATTACTATCGTTTTTTTGTAAGTTATTATCATAAAGAGGAATTTGTACTTTTAACAATTTATCAATTTTACAAATACAAATTGAAATTAATGCAAAAGCTATCAATTTTACAAATACAAATCGAGATCAATGCACATCAAAAATTATGTGACAAATAAAAAGAAATTTTATATGTAATTGAGATCAAAGACAGAACACTGAAGACTGTTTCTATTAACATTTACAATGTATATTTAATGTTTTTTTGGGCAAAATATTCTTTCTAAGTGTGATATATAAATATTAAAAAATACTTAAAATATTTTGTAACATCTATAAAAGCATCTAAAATATTCTATATTATTCACAAATAATGTTTGAAGCTACCTAATTTTTCTAAACTACCTGTAAGAAGAACATGTCTAAAAATTCTTCATTTAACCTCCATATATGTATATATATAGAGAGAGAGCAAATGTGTAAAAAAAATTATACAAATAATATTTAAAAGTATATAAAATATTAGTAATTAGACAGGTGAAATTTAGATTTTTAAAAAAATCTAAATAAATAATGAATTTATGATAGTAATTAGACTTTTATTTATTTATCTTTAAAGTTGTTACGATAGATGAGGGATGTGATTTTTTGACTCGTCGAGATGAATTTTGTAAGTTGTGTTATGAAATTTTCTTAAACTCGTCCATATTTATGCAATGAGTTTTTTGAGCTGAAACTTTCATAAATCATTTGATTTGGTATTTTCGGAGAGTTTCATTAATTTAAAGTGTAAAATAAATAAATTAAAAAAGTACAACTGAAAAAGTTACAACCAATTGTATGGAGAATTAAACTAAATCCAATTTTGTAGGATGCATTAAATATTGATTAGATTTTATATGTAAAATAAAATAAAAAATAATTGGAATAGTGTTATGTGTTGTAATATTTTATATTTAAAAAAAAAATTAAAAAATCTTCTTTTACGTGTTGCATACCAACATTTTAAGAACTACATGGATATTCCTAAATTAATATTGCATACCCAATATTTTAGGAACTAATTAAATGCTAATTTGATTTGAATACCCAAAATATTAGATGCATTAATTAAGTACTTGATAAAATTAGAAATTCATTAATTAAGTTTGACTTTTCTAACTATTATATTTAGTAAATAGGATCCCCTTTAATATAAGTATAGATGTTACATTTCTAGAGATTTTGAAAATACTAGTACGTACCCCGTGCGATGCACGGAACATAAATATTAAATGAGTTATTTTAA